GGAGGCCAGAGAGAGAAAGAGAGAAGGAGTCCAATAGATAGATCTCTTATGAGCCCATCAAGACATTCTAGACAAAATTTAAAGTATCCTGTACTCTGGCTTCTCCCAGTTCTGTGTCCAGGACTTACAGTGCTAACAACTCTTGCCTTTACTTCTTTCTCACATCTCTTTTCAGGAACTAATCAAAGATTTCTTCTTCTCCCTACATCTGACAGTCATACAAATAAAACTGATGCATTTTTTTAATCTTTTAGATAGGCCCCCTGGCTGGAGTACCCCAAGTGGTACACTTGACACCCACATTAAGCTGGAGAAAACTAGGTTAAACAGCAACAGAATTCCATAACGGCTATTAAAGTTACCTCATGGGGGAGAGGGGACTGTTAAGAACAGGAAATAGAAATTGGTCAATTTACCTAAATGTGTACAAAGACCCCAAAGAAAAGTAACCAGTTTCTTTCTTAGCTAAAAAGCTATAAATGTCCTTGGGCTTCTTGACAGTATCGTTCCTGCTAGAGGCCGGAGATGCCCGAATTATTTGGGGGCAATGATCCTTGATCTGGCTTCTAAGTGATTTTAGGGTTATTCAGAGTAGAGAATGTTAGAGTAGTAATAAGAGCCCATTAAGAAGAAACATCTGGACGCTGGAGAGAAGATATTCGGCAGTTAAGAGCTGGTGCCTTCTCCAGGTGCCAGGTTTGATCCCCACCACCCACAGGTGGCTCACAACCAGCTGTAGCTGCAATTCCAGGAGCTCTAACCCCAACTTCTGGCCTCCACAAACACCAGGCATTCGTGTGCTGTACAGACAGACACGCAGGCAAGACACTCATCCACATAAAATTAAATCTTTTAAAAAATTAAAAAGAAAAAACATTTCTGATCAAAAGAATACAGCCTCTGGCTTAGCATTCGAGTTGGGCCCGATCAATCACTTGGCCAAGGGAGCACACCCTAGAAGGCAGGTCCTCCTTAAACCATGCTTAAGAGATAGACAGAACAATTCAACCTTTAATGAGATACTGTACTTTTTCCTTCTCAGAAGCTCCAACTCCAGCACAGCCATGTGGCTTCTTAAGTTTGCCCACTTTTCTAAACTGTCCAGAAAAGCATTGTTTTCTTCTTTCTGTCACTTTTCTAAGCATGTTATAATGTAAGCTTCCCCAACATTCTGGGCTTCCTTAATCTTTCTCTAAAGTTCTCCTCCCCTTCTCCATGTGGCTGTTTGGCCACCATGTGTCTGTCTGACCTCCATGTCAGCTTAAATGGTATGTTTTTTTTTCCCCTCTTTCCTCCATTCTCCTCCCCTGGGCAGCTGTTGAGATTTATAGCTTGCATGCCCTGGGTACTCTTGGGTTTGTTTTGTTTTCGTTTTTCTTTTAAACCCCAAGTTAAATTGCTCTCGAGCTTCGATAAATAAATAATAAAATAAATGTCTGTCAAAAGCTTTACAGGCTTGTTTTCTAGCCGTCATTGCTGAGAACCTAAGTGGCTGGCATTAAAACACTGTAATGAGGAAACTCATCAATTTGCTTCCTTGGACAAGCATGGGGGCCTTGGCCATGTATCCGAAGTGCCAGTCAAAGGTGATTCAGAAGACAATCCAGGGAAATGTCACTCTCAACACATGGACAATTGGGTGTGTACAGGCACATACTTGTACCATCCAAACTCTCATATATTCATATTCACGCCCTTTATGGAACACCATACCAGCACAGGGAGGAAATCTGTAGGAAGAGTCCGAGTCAAGCAAACAGCTGCATCTATTTCAGAAACCCTTTACAAATAAATGAACACAGTCTGAGAGCGACACCCTGTGGCAATGACAGGCATGTTGCACGGGGATGACCTACAGGAACCCCAGCAGAGTGCTGACTGCCTGCTGGGGCCAGATTTGCTTGGCTGTCTTCAGACCTGAGTATGACCTCTAAGCTCAAGGTCAACCCTTTCCTTGCTGTGGTTCAGGGGCATCTGCAATCCAAAGAGTGCTTCTCGAGGTACAATGACCCAGGGTCCCCCATCCTCTCCCACTGCTCCCTGGTTCCCTTTCCCCTTCCTATCAAATATGCAGTTTCTGATACATTGGATCCCACAAATGGCAAGTGTGCTGCTGTGCCCTTTGGCGTGCCTCCTTGGTGTGGGAGAGTCTTATGGCCAAGCACCAAGTCAGCTTAGTAAGACCGAGTTGTCATCTGAGCAGCTTTTGAGTGACGGAAGTCTAAATATAACTTATAAACTCTAGTGCTTACTTGTAACATCCTACTAAAATTGAACCTCAAAGATTACCATGGAAAATGAAGAAAAAAACAAAACAAAAAAAAAAAAAAAACAATAATCAAAGCCAAAATATCAAACGCTGACACACTGCACCAGGCTTTGCATCTGCTGTGTGCCTGATTTTATTCAATGCTCATTACAGTCCTAAAGGCAGTACTAGCATTACACACATTCTACTGATAAGAAAACTGAGGGCCAGAAAGATAACTCACTATATGCAAAGTCACAGCTCACGGGTAAGCTCACGCAGACATGGGATCCACTGGCTACAGATGTCTTCTGGCCAGTCTGACCCAGAAATCTGAAAGCCTGTGAGCTTTTGTACCTCCAAGTCATTCCTCAATGTCAACCACAAAAGTCTTTCCCCAGCCAGCTCTGCCTCACCCACAGATGCCACCAATAGTGTTAACCACCCCAGTGTCTCCTGGCCACCTCCTTCCTCAGGGCCCTTTCTTCTTTCTTCTTCCCTCCTTAGCTATAGAAATGGTTCTTCCCCCATTAAGTATTTGCTCTTTTCCTTCTTTCTCCCTCTCACCAGAAACCTTGGTTACAGGATTTATACATTCAATTCCAGGATTCTAGTTTTCTAGATACAAAGCTCTGGATTCAAGGCCTTTACTACTGTGGGTCCCTCACGGCCCCTGCAGCAAAAGAAAAGACATCTTTTATCTGCTGGCCAGCTAGCCCCACCTTTGGTAAGCATCACTACCCACACCCTTCACAGAACAATTAGATGAAGCCTGTGGGGAAAGACACAGATAGCCATGTCTGCAAGTCTCTCTGATTCTTTAAATTCCTGTTGGCTGGTGCACACCACCAGAATCTTTTTCCTCCCGTCTCCTCCTCCAGGATTCCAGCCTTAGCCTTCTCCCTGGACTCCAGCTTCCTGGTCAGTGACCTATTAATATATACTTCACCCAAAGCAGGGAAGCACCCATCATCTCTCAGCCTCTGCAGATTCAGAGACTTGCCATCTTCTATAAGGTAAAGAGCACAGTCTACATGGTCTCCCTATCTCATGCATCAGGAAAGGCCATTCCACCTCTTAGCTATACCAATGTCTCCCTAGTAACCTACCCCAAAGAGGATGACACACTTTCCCATAATGCAAAGCTCCACTCAAAGGTAGCCTTTCTCATAATAGTGTTTTCTCTCTCTCTCTCTCTCTCTCTCTCTCTCTCTCTCTCTCTCCCTTCCTTCTGTGGCAGAGTATACTTTTTCTATTTTTTATTTTAATTAAAATATAATAACATCTTTCCTCCCCCCAGCCCCTCCCATATCCCCTGCCTAATTATTTCTCCTGAGAGTTCTCTTGAGAGCTGGTCCACTTTATAAGTCTCTATTGTGCTCCGCTCTTGCAAAACCATCAAGGACTGCTTTTCTTGTTTTACACGAAAAATGCCCTGTCTCCTCTCCTCTCCCTGGAAGGGCAGCTTCTCTTCGTTGGCTCTTTTTCATCAGAGAGGGAATCCTGGTATAAAAAGTGACAGCATTCGATGTTCCTTGCTTAGCCATAGATATTCCTTATGTAGCCTTAGAGAATACTCGTGTAGCCATAGATATTCCTTATGATATTCTTTAGACAGCCTTGGATATTCTTTATGTTGCTTCCCCACTGTGGAAAATGGGACCACGGCATCTTCATGTGTGTGGTTTTATCTTTTTCTTTTTACTTTCTGAGCCCAACCTTCTGCTTTCCTATCTCCTTTCAAAGCCCACCCAAATAGATTGGGCGATACTGCCCATCTCTGCCCCTCCCATCGGTCACCTGGTGCTAACTGGTCAGTTGAGTAGATCTGTTCCTCAGAACCAGCCCTCCCAGCATCAAGGCAGAGAGGAGAAGGTGCCTCTGGTTCTCCTCGCCAGTGCTAACTTTGCACATTCAAGTTTTAGCCTGAACACTAAATGTGTTCAGGACCTACAAAGGAGAGGATATCACTGATCCAAGCCAGTTATCTGTTGCTCTCTGTCTATGTTCATGCTTTGATGGGATCTTATGATTGAGCTTGGTGAATGATGGGATCCAAACTCTTACAATGCTCCCTTGGTGCAGAGCCCTTTGGTCTTGAGGCTCTGCTTCTCTGTTTGAACACAGTAAGGCTTCAAAGAGAACCTGTTGAAATCAACTGACATTTATTTCTGATCACTCTGCCTTCCCAGAACTTTCTGTGTCCACCATGGATTTCACAATGAGAATGAGCCTCTCTGGCTCTTCATTCGGGGCACTCCCCACACTCTCCGCAAAGCTTCTCAGAGGATGTGCTGGTTCGTTTAGAGTCAACCAGACATAAGCTAGAGTCATCAAGTGAGAAAGGAACCTCAGTTGAGGAAATGCCTCCATGAGATCCAGCTGTAAGGCATTTTCTCAATTAGTGATCAGTGGGGGAGGGCTCAGCCTATTGTGGGTAGTGACATCCCTGGGCTGGTGATCCTGGGTTCTGTCAGAAAGCAGGCTGACCAAGCCATGGGAAGCAAGCCTGTAAGCAGCACCCCTCCACAGCCTCTGCATCTGCTCCTGCCTCCAGAATCCTGCCCTGCTTGAGTCCCTGTCCTGGCTTTCTTTAACAATGGACGATGATCTGGAAGCGTAAGCAAAATAAACTCTTTCCTCCTCAAGTTGCTTTTTGGTCGTGGTGTTTCGTCACAGCGATAGAAACCCTAAGACAGAGGGGAAGAGATGGGCACTGGGGAAGGCAGTTGGGCCCCAAAAGCATACTCACACTGGGGAGCAGGAATCAAGATCTATGCTCTTGGTGGGGACAAACCCCACTTCTCCTGAGCTCACAGACTTCCCGATGAACCACTGCAGCCCGGGTATGACGAAGCCGATTACTTCAATGCTTTCCCCCTGGAGGAAAGGCAGCTCATCCTTTTCCTCCTGTTTGTAATCCATCAGAGCCTTGCAGCGTCCTCTGCCTGTGAGAAACAACACACAGGTCAATTGGAAGAGACCTTCCCCTCTCTATCAGTGTTGTACAGACTACGGTATCCCAGCATCAGAAATTTCAACAAGTCAGTTCCCACACACACCAAAATCAAACTGAAAGGAATGGCTTTTCATTTTGCCAAACTAGGACACCCCAAAAAGGAACTGTCATTTCACTATCAGCTTTTTTAAAAAATAAAAGACACCTTGACAAGTATAAGAAAGGTATTCTCAGAATACAGAATATGCATGCCTTTAAACTGGATAAGCTTATGGCAAAACAGAATGTCCCTTGCTGTCCTCAACTGATTCTGCCACCATCCTCCATATCACCACCATGCTTGGCCCAAGGCCTCCAAGCACTGAATGAGAATCGTCACACCAGAGGTTGCCTACACCTCCATACAGCTGCTCCAGCCACTGTGACAGCTGATACTTATAAATACTAGAGTCAAAAACAAAGTGCGTCATGCCTGGTACCTCATCACCTCTCAGCAGATGTCACTGCATCGTGCTGTGAGGAACACAGAGGGCTCTGGGATCTCCTTTCAGCTGTCCTGACTCCCCCATTTCACGAGTGGCCCGCCTGGGATCCAATAACAATGCCTCTGCGAGTATTATACTGTCTAGGTTACAAAGCACATTTCCACTCTCACATCTTTGCAAGCTCCCGACAGGGACCCCGGCAGAATTCTCTCTTCACGGATGAGAAAGTGGGAGGCAGTGCTGAGTGAAGGCTTAGGATAGCAGCCAGGCTTCCTTGCTGCTGCGCACCTCTCTGGCCCATTTGCTTAGTTCTCGTGACAAGATTTGGCTAGATTAAACCACTTCTTTACTGAGAAGGTAGAAGCATATTGAAGGCAGGAAGTTCTGGTGCGAGGTTGCATAACCCACATCAGACTCCAAAGCCCCATAGTGCTGGCTGTATATAGGCTATGTTGCTTCAAAATGCTAAAAATCTAGTGCATGGCCAATTACTACATAGTTATAATATTTTAATTCTGTCATTCTGTTAAGTGATATTTGGGTTTGAAACTAGTAAAACTGTATTTTATTTTATGTTGCTAGGATGTGTGGTAGGAAATGTGCTAGAATAGGGAGCTCCCTGCAAAGATAAAGTTTCCACGGTGCGCTTTAGATATTTTGTTATCTAGCACACGCATATACTTACCAATGTGTGTGTGTGTACATAGAGATTAGCAGACCTGAATGCTTGTGTATATGAACACAGGTGTGTGTGTGTGTGTGTGTGTGTGTGTGTGCATAGTTCATTCATCTATTCATATCTGTTGTTTACTGAGCACTCACTATGTACTAGGTATTCATAGTTGCCTAAATTACATTACTCTAAAAAAAATCAGAAAATGTTTGGGTAAGAAACATCGGAAACGGGTCACATTTGGCTCAAAAAAAAAAAAAAGTTTTATATGGCCAGTGCAAGACTTTCTTTTCTACCCGTCTATCTTTAAATCTCTCTCACTCCTGCCATTCCAAAACACCCCTCTCCGAGCCCTCCCCACATAGCTGTGTTCTGCCTGTTCATGGAGGCAGGCATCTGCTTCCTTAGCCCTGTCTTGTGACCTTCATTTCACCGGCAAAGACCCCAAGTGTGTGGACAGTAACTGGCTTCCCACATCCTGCTATTGAGAATAAGGGGCAGGTAAACGCCATCTTCCTTACGGCGCTGCTTTCAACTCATACCAATCTGACAGGAGCCTGTCCAGTCTCCCCTCCTGGGAAGGCCACAGATTCCTGGGTAATTCTTCAGGAACCATCTGCCAGTGGAAACACAGAGTTTCGAAACGTTAGAACAATGAGCAGAACAGTCCAATAGGAAAATGATGTCAGTGGTATTGTGCATGTAATTTTAACGATAGCAAACTGAGAGTTTACTTGATACTATGAAAAAAAAAAAGTCCAGCAGAATGGAATGTATCCTAGCTCTGCAATTATTCTGCCAGTTAAATAACTTACACACTGCACTCAATATTCTCGCTGTCAATTCTGCCAGGACCAAGCAGAATTTATGGGGCGTGAGATAATGTGGTCGTTCTGTATGCTCAAGTTTACAGTACCCTACAGCAGAATTCTCAAGCTTTAGTGTGAAGAACATGCCTGGGGAGCTAATTTAAAGTAGGGGTTTCTGGGCCCAAAACTGAGAGAGTCAGAGAAGAGGGACAGGGGACTAAATTCAGAGTAGCGTACTCAGGTCATACTGAGACAAATGGCCCCAGTCCATGTACTAAAAAGCACTGCAATAAAGGTCATTTCTTCCTACACACTATGTCCATCTGAAATTTAGAGTTTTTCTCACTTTCACCAAATAATACAAATTTTGGCTTAAAAAAAAAACAAAAAACAAAAAACAGGAGATTAAAAAGCCACCCCAATTTTGTCCTTCTCCAGGCACTGGGAGTAACATGTCTTAAAAGACATCTATTCTATTCTGCACAAACTTCAGTCTGCTTTAGGACCCTCCCCAAGGGAGCAGGCAGCTACTCACTGGTGGAAAGGGACAGGCAGGGGCTCCAGGGCCGACACAGGCACAAGGCCCCTCTGACCCGTCACTAAGGACACGCCTTCCCACTCAGATTCGCCTTCGGGGAGCACAGAAATCAGCTCACTCTTACACAGTGTCAAATACTCTCCTTCCTTCTCAGCTGGCTGAGCCACAGAACACACAGCTCTGCAGAAGAAGTGCCCTGCAGAGAACGAGAAAAACCAGAAATGAGAGGGGATATCCTGTAAGGAGACAGGTGCAGAGCCCAATTTTCTTCCTCTGAGTAAAGTGCACGGTTCAGGAGGAGGCACAAGGTCCTTGTGCTGCGATCCCAGAGAGTGAGGAGTCACTGACAAGGAGTTCACTTAAGGTACATATTTAGCATTCTCAGTAACTAGTAAGAATAAGGCTTAATTGAACTTTACCTCAAAAAAAAAAAAAATATATATATATATATATAACAAAGACCCGGAGAAATGCATGTACATTCATTAATCTAGCTGTCCTTGCAGCCCTGTGCTTTGGTCAGAGCCACGAAGAGAACAGGAAGTCAGTTTGGATGAATGCAATGACTCGGAATGAGCTCTGTAACAGTACAGCATAAATTGTGTCTTCCCTAGGAGCAGCGCCATGGGATCAGAAAGAGGATCGCTTTCGGAAAACCATCACGAGCCAATCTGGCTTTCAAAATGTACTAAGTGATCAGGCTTGACCACCCGCCAGTCAGATGGCATCCACACTTTGTGAAAAGGTCAGGAGCAGGAGGAGGGGAAGCTTCAACTGGCTCTTCCGAATTATGTTACTGAATTTCATGAAAGTGCTCAGGTTCTCCAAGACATATGAATTTATTTTACAATCAAATCGCATCCTGTATTCACAGAACTGTTTCTCAATCCTGGAGACCACTAGAATCACACAGGAAACTACTTTTTAAGTGCCAGTGCCAAGGACCCCACCTCCAGGAATTCCCTCAGCCTGGACAGAGCCTGGGCAGGACAACCTCTTACACCCCAAAGCAGCCTAAACTGAGACCAGCTGCCACAGCTGTTTGCGTGATGTCAGGACTGCGTTGAGAAGGATGTTTGAAGTCTTGTTACGACAGATAGCGTCACTCATGAATGTTTTCATCTTCCAGAGTTTGGTTTTGTTGCCTCTTTTGGCATCTTAATTATGAGGGACTCTGATAACAAATATCTGGTTGAGGCTCCCACCCCACATCCAGTGCCAGACTCACCTTCCTGCAGCAGGAGGCCCAGGTACATGTTTTCCAAGTGGTTGTCGTCCACAGACACCTGGATCTCTGTGTCAGCCACCAGTCTGCAGTTGAGCCAGTACTTGTGGTCAAAGAAGAGGTGCTCCAGACATGTGGACACATAGCCTAGAGGTCAAGCCAAAGCTGAACCAGACGAGAGAAAGCAGGACGCCTCCTGCCTTCATACCCAGACCATTTAAAGGAAGCAAAGGGCTAACTAGACACCTTCTAGAATGAACTGGCTCTTGTCAACCTCTATTAGGAAATATTAGTTGAGCAAAAGTTATGTTTACCATTCCAAGAACTTTGTGGTCTTCATAGATGCATATTTATCTTTTTAAATGTTTTTACATTTATTCATTTGGGGGAGGGGGTATGTGTGTTGCATTTGTTTGTGTGGGCACACACACTTGTATGCCAGAGTGCATGAGTGGAGGCCAAAAGACCACTTGAAAGGGTCCATTTTCTCCTTCCACCATGTGGGTTTCTGGGATGGAAATCAGGCCATCGGGCTTGGTAGAAAGTGCCTTCATCGCAGAGCCATTTCACTGGCCCTTAGCTATTATTTTTCTAATACAACAATGGAGGTCTTCCAGTTGACTGCGGCGACTAAGAGTTCCTGGTCTCCCCTTGAAGTTCTAACCTGAAGTTCACACATCTGTTCCCTGATGATGTGGGGACTGAGCCCACAGAGCTGGAATTCCCTTCCCTCTATCAGCTCTGACTCTGGCCTCACCTGCAGCCTAAGAAGCTCTTCCTTGTTACAAGCAAAAGCGGCTGGAGATGTAGCACAGCAGTATGGAGCTTGCCTAGCATGAGCAAAGCTCTAGGCTTGGCTCTCAGAAATGTCACTATTCTTCTAAACATGTTGCTCATATTGAAATTTTGTTCCTTCTTTTGAGTCCTCTTCACTATCCCTATAATGCGATAGTCAGCCACTCTCCACCCTCACTGTCCGCTACAACCGTCTTCTTAAACTTGAAAGTTCACACCTGGGGGTCTTACAAAAAACACAGAGGCTAGTTAGTAGGCCTCATTTGGAGCCTGGGTTTCTCACTCTCTAACACTAGTACATTCCAAGGAGCGAACAAACTGGGCCACAGAGCAAAATTTTAATAGTGACCATCTATAATCGTCACAGGAAATGTGTCACACAGAGAGCAGGACAATCACCACACTGTAAGAGGAGTTTCCCCCTGCAGACGCGGGTCACTTTGACCCTCAGCCCAGCTCAACAGTGCTCCGTAGTTTTCTATAAATTAGGTGACTTGGCTTGGGAGCCAACAGTTCCTGCCAGGAGTTTTTTGTCCCAGAACAGAAGAGAAAATAGAGCCCACTACAGGGGTAATGTCACTGAGCCCTGACATCCATAACCTTCTAGAAAACCCTGAAGTCTGGGGCCATTTTACCAGCTAGGTCTTCCACCTCTTTCTCTGACTTACAAATACATGTGACAAAGCACCTCTGAATTTCAGCATTTGGAGCAGTTTCTCCCTCTTCCTCAGGACTAGTTGTCTTTCATCTTTTTTTTTTTAATGTTCTTAGAAACTTTATTTTATTTGTTCTTAATTTATTCACTTTACATCCAGATCATAGCCCCTCCTTTGTCTCCTCCCAGTCCCATCTTCCTTCCCACTTCCCCCCTGTTCTCCTCCCCTAGTCCTAAGAAAAGGGGAGCCTTCCACCCCTACCAACTAACCCAGGCCTATCAAGTCTCATCAGGACAACCTGCATCCTCTTCCTCTGTGGCCTGGCAAGACCACCCCACCAGGGGGAAGTGATGGATGAGCAGGCAACAGAGTCCATGTCAGAGACAGCCCAGGCTCACCTTGCTTGGGAACCCACATCAAGTCTAAGCTTCCTATTGGCTACATCTGAGCAGGGGCCCTAAGTCCTCTCTATGCAGTCTCTGCAGGATCCCCTGGACCCAAATTTGTTGGCTCTGTTGGTTTCCCTCTGGGCCCTTCTACTTCCCCGCTCTTCCATAACATTCCCTGTGCTCTGCCCAAAGTTTGGCAGTGAGTCTCAGCATTTGCTTCGATCCCCTGCTGGGTGAATCTTTAAGATGACATCCTGTTCCCTCTCTTCAAACACTTCTGGTGTCTATTCTATTTGCTCTTCTGAATGAGGATTAAGCATCCTCCCTAGGGTCCTCCTTGTTACTTAGCTTCTTTGGGTCTGTGGATTATAGTATGGTTATCCTGTATTATATGACTGATATATGCTTATGAGTGAGTATACACCATGCTTGTCTTTCTGGATCTGGGTTACCTCACTCAGGATAATCTTTTCCAGTACCATCCATTTGCCTGCAAATTTCATTATTTCCTTGTTTTTAGTAACTCAGTGTATTCCATTGTGTAGATGTAACACAGTTTCCTTATTCATTCTTCATTTGAGGGACATCTAGGTTGTTTCCAGTTTCTGGCTATTACAAATAAAGCCACTATAAACATAGTTGAGCAAATGTCCTTGTTGTATGGTGGAGCATCTTTTGGGTATATGCCCAGAAGTGGTATAGCTGGGTCTTGAGGTAGAGTTGTCCCCAGTTTTCTGAGAAAGCACCAGACTGATTTCCAAAGTAGTTGTACAAGTCTGCACTTCCACCAGCAATGGAGAAGTATTTCCCTTTCTCTACAACCTCACCAGCAATCTTTCATCTTAATGAACTCGACATCTATCCCACTGCTTCCAATTCAGTAGCTCACCAAATTGTTTGCAATTATGTAACTAAAATAAAAAAGTTCTCCCTAGACACAGAAAAATGACATTTCATTTCCTTATGGGAAGAAATACTCCATTCATAAAATACCTTCACATGACATCTTAGAGTAATAGTTAATACTTATTTTAAATTTTTAAATTTAAAGTGAATTTTAAAATTCACTTTAGAAAGTTTATGATATTTCAAAAGCTAACCATCCATTTCAGAGCTGTATCTTTTAAGGATCAAAGACAAACCAGTTCCCTAATATCAGCCAAACGAGCTGGCTAGCTTGAGAAAGATATTCTCCTCTACCTACCCAAGGCATACCTAAGTTCAGGTAGGTGGAAAACTTCCAGATTTCCTCCACAGTCTTGAAGGTGATGAGGAACTGGTCCTTCTGGGACTGGATGCTCACCAACCTTGCAGAGAGGTCCTAACCAAAAACAACAAGTCAGCCTGGGGTAACAGAGTTTCCTCTGAGGGGCCCAAGAGAGGAACCAGCATCAATCAAGGGCAGACAAGCAGTTGCTAAGCAGCATGCTATAATGTAAATCATCTCACTGACCTCTTAATGGACGTCAATGATCGGCTTCCATTATGTTTAATGGTTACAATGCCATCCTTTCACATTTGGATTACTTTACAGTTTTAATGCCCTCAACAGCACTGGGATAACTACCTCGGTAGATAAATCTTTATGCAAATCCTTGCTTGCTTGGGTATAATTGATTCTAAGAAGCACAATTGACAGTGGAGAATATATGCATTTTCTACTCCAAAATCCAGCCACCCAACAGTCTCCAAGGAAGTTTGCCAATTTATGTTCATAACAGAACAAGAAGAAGCCTGTGAGCCTCTTGCTCTCTAATATGGGACAGAAGTAGGCTTAAATCCAGGGGCACTAGCTTCCCCTCAGTCTTTCTCTGCTGGGTGCTCAGAGTGACTGTCTGAACATCTGAATAGCTAAGACCTGCCACCGAGAGCAACTGCTAGATCCCCATCCTAGGGGAGTCTAAGGAGAAGAAGACACAGAAGAAGGCCTCTGAGCTCAGTAAAGTCAGAATCCATACTCCTCAATACCAGAAACTAGGCTGGTATAGATCCTGTGGCCAAGCAGGGCTGCTTGGGAGAAAAAAAAAAAAATTATAGAGAGAATTTACTAGATATCAGACCTTTGCGAAAATCTTTGTGAGGTACAGCTCAGTCAGTTCCCATAAAAACCAGCTGAAAAGAGTGCAACCCTAGTATTTAATCTACTTAAGACAGGCTTTTGTAGCATCTACCCAGGTGTGCATCCTGGAGAAAGCGTGCCTTGTCTGTTAGGCAAGATGCCGTATTTCCTCACCATCCATTTCTCTAGGATGTTCACTAAGCAAGGATGGATGTTACAATTAATAGTATCATGGAGCTAATAGCATTGCTACAGTTTTGTAAGGGAAGAGATGAGACACAGAGAGGTGAGGTAACTTGCCCAGGGTCACCTACATTGAGTAAGCTGTAGAGCCATGACTGGCTCTTGGATACAGCCAACTCCTGGCCCCAGCTTCCTACACAGACTCAGCTCAAGGCATGGCCTAACAGACAGTTCTCACCATCAAATCCCGCTCCTGCCCTCAGTAAAGGTGACTTGAATTAAAGGGAAATTCACTGAAGTCAGCAACAGCCTATGTTTGTTGAATTCCAGGAACTAACAGAATTTAAAAAGAGAGAGAGAAGCCCAAGGCTAGAGAAATACCTCAGTGGGTAAAGCCTCTTGTTGCTTAAGAACAGGATGAGTTTAGAGTCCCAGCACCCATGTAAGAAAAGCCAGGTAGATCTCACACATCAGAGCTTCCACAATGAGATTTTTTTTTTCTTTTGTGTATGTGGGAAGAATGGGGGGGGGCAGGTTGCAAGAGCAGAGGACAGGTATGAAGGATCAGGGAGATGAGTGAGATTGGGGCGCATGGTGTGGAATTCACAAAGAATCAATAAAGAGTGAAATAAGAAAAGAAAAGCCAGGTGTAACCCCTGCACCTTGGAACCCCGGTACTGAGGAGCAAAGACTGGTGGATTCTTGGGGCTTTTTGGCCATCAGCCTAGCTCCAGTGCGAGTAAAAACCCTGTCTCAAAGGAATAAGACGAAAAGCAATAGAGCAGGACACCTGGTAGCCTCCAGCCTCTTGCCTCCTGTCCAAGCACAGTGGCCTTCACAGGGCATGTGCGCCCACACACACGCCCACACACACGCCCATACCCCACATGCAGACACAGAAACAGGCATAGGCTTGTTTTAAACTTCCGGCTGTTAATCATGGAGCAGAGGCCACTATCATATACAAAGCCAAGCTCTCTAGGTGCAGTCTCCTAAAAACCACCCACTGCCACTCTGCTACATGACAGCCACAGCACTCTTTTCCTCTCAGCCAGTACCAGATTAAGGAGGAGGGTGTGAAAACAGTAGGAGATATCATTTTGTTATGTAAAGCAACGCCTTTGTCGTCTCCCGCCCCCCCCCACCACCACCACCACTAACAGCCACACTGTCTCTCCATTTCTGACTCTCATTCCTCAATCAGGCCTTTGGTAATAGCAAATATAGCGTAACTATTAAACATACTATCTATCTACTATGAGAAACCACTTAATTTATTGCATTGTTCCTCTCACCCCAATATTTATAACTATGGCTTTTCATTGGCAATATTGTTACTTCAAAAATATGTGCTCCATGCTTAGTGAGGAAAAGGAGAAAATGGGCAGTTTTATTCACAGCTACAGAGACTGAAGTCGGAGTGATACAGTGGATAGAGTGTTCTGGAGAACATAAGTGAACTGTACATTTTTAAATCACAACGGGGAGAAAAGAAATGAAGGTTGTATCCTACGTATTCTACGTAGTTCAGGTAACCTACCCCAAATCGGAGGGGATGGGGGGAACCAAGTTTTCGCTGGCTTAGTTCACTCGCTCCTGTTAGGCAGAGAATGTGAGCACAATCACTCACAGCCCCTGTCAGCCATCTGTTTCCTTGGGGACTTACATTGTTCGAGGCCCAGCCCTTGCTGTTAGGAACCTGGGATGGAGAACCAGGCATCCCAGCTCACCTTAAACAGCGCACAGACTTCCTGGTCTTCGTTCTCCAGGGCCCACAGCCGCCTGCGTGCAGCTTCCTGTAAGGCTGCATTGACGCACCTCCTGGAGCGACTCTTCACACAGAATGAGAGCACCAGATCTGAAAGGGAATACAAGGCTGGGCGCACAGTGGAAAAGAAGGACCCAGGGGGAGTCTCTCCCACACACACAAGCCCTGAGTTGCTGCCCTCCACTGACAGTAGATCACAGTAGGCTAAGGGATCCTCCAAGCTCCCTCTTAAAAGTCCTCCCCAGGGGCCAGGAAAGACAATAAAGACCAGCAGGACTCAGGAGGTACACGGTGCTGCTTCTGCGCAGGTGCAGACACCGAACCAACCGCGGCAGACATTGCTTCCAATGAATAATATGCAAACATTCGGAAAGAAAAACTCTTTTATCCAGCCAGGCAGTGGTAGCACACACCTTTAATCCCAGCACTTGGCAAGCAGAGGCAGGAGGATCTGTGTGAGTTTGAGGCTTCCCTGGTCTACAGCGCAACTTCCGGAACAGCCAAGGCTTTGCAGAGAAACACCATCTCAAGAAACAAGAAAAGCAAAACAAAACAAAAAACATTGTATCCAAACTAAAGGGAACGCATTATCTTGTGAGTGCTTTGAATAGGAATGAGCTCCATAGACTTCTGTATTTGCATGGTTGGTCCATAGGGAAAGGCTATTAAGAGGTGTGGCCTGGCTGGAGAAGGTGTGGCCTTGTTGGAGGAAGTTGTGTCACTGTGGAGGCAGGCTTTGAGGTCTGCTATGTTCAAGCTACGCTTGGTATGGTGCACAGTCTCCTTCTGCTGCCTGTGGATCAAGATGTAGAACTGTCAGCTCCTTCTCCAGCACCATGTCTGCCTGCACGCTGCCATGTTCCCCACCATGATAATAATGGACTAAACCTCTGAATAAGCAGCCTTTTGAGATCTTAGTTGATACTGAGAGGAGGACCTCTGTGCAGGTGGGACCCTGTAGTACCCCAAATCACCACACGGGAAAATAAGTCCAGCAAGTCCATCTCACTCTAGTGCAGACTAAAGCGCGTGTTGTGTCCTATCTTAATCTTTCTGGAAGCCAGGCCAGTGATCAGAATAATGTACTGAATCTGTCTGGAATTGTATTGCATAAAGCAAGGTTGGCAGCGAGCACCAAGTCTCCCACTTCAACGCGGAGCACCTAGACTCCCACTTCGACAGGGCGGCGGCCTTCCTGCAAGCTCAGCCAGTAGATTTGGTTTCACCTAATGATGCCCTTTGTTCCTCAGCTTTCATGCACCAGTAAGTCAAAATGCTGACTTCACAGCGTTTTTCAACTAGCAGATGGCAATTCAAGGGGTTTTCTGGATGGCCCAAACTTTCAGATGTCAAGCAAGTGACCGAAGAGCTAGATTTTTCTCATTACTGCTGAGATGGCTCAGAGGATAAAGGCACTAGTTACTCCTGATGACCCGAGTTGGATCCCTGAAACACACATAGTGGACGAGAACTAATTCCAACATCCTGGGGTGGGTACCCACACATGTACACAAACATACACTGACACACAAGTAAGTGTAATAAAAAAATTAAAACTTAAAAACTAACATTTTGAGACAGTTTTCAATGAGGAATAGAAAAAAACCTGATTTGATAGTTACACAGTATCTATTAACACCATTTATATCCTTAAAAATACCCAAAATGTAAGTCCTTGACAAATCTTATGTTACAAGGAAAGGTACATTTTTGGATGAGAGGAGATCATGATGGTTACAAACACAATTCTGTGATGGCTGTTCTTGGTTGTCAACTTGACTGCATCTCTAATTAACTAAAACCCAAGTGGCTGGATATGAGAAATATTTCCCAATTAGATCATCTGAAGTGGGAAGACCTCCCCCTCCTTCATCTGGTTCTTTTGAGGTGAGAAAATCCACCTTAAATCTAAGCCACATCTTCTGGTGGCGGCCTATATGAAGGTCATGGAAGAAGGAAGCTTTGGCTTTCTGTCTGCTTGCTCTCGCTTTCACTGGCAAGCCCATTCCTTCCCCAGCATTAAAGTCTGCTTCTTTAGGATTCCAGCATATACTGAAGACCAGCTAAGACATCCAGCCTCATGGCCTGAACAGCTACAGGATTCTTGAACTCTACGGTGGTAGACAGCCATTGTTGGACTAGCTGGACCACAGCCTGTAAGCTATTCTAATAAGTCCCCTTCATATATATTCTCTTGGTTCTGTTCCTTTACTAATACAACAAGGGTTCAAGCCTCTTCCTCATCACATATTAAGTATATGACAGTCAAGTAACAGTCCCTTCTGAGGCTCTGATGTCCATCTGATTGATAAGCAGTGATTTGGGCATGGCCATACACAGGAGAGTATGTAAGAAGAGGACCATGTCACAGACCTCCTGACAACAGGATCTGCTCTCCAAATGGTTCACCTTGAGCCCAGCATGGTGCTGCACACATTTAATCCCAGCACTAGGAACGCAGAGGCAGATGGATCTCTGAGAGTTCAAGGACAGTGTAATCTACATAGCAAGTTTCAGGACAACCAGAGCTACATAACGAAACCCTCAAAAAAAATTAAAGAGAAGAGAAAAAAGAAAGAAAATAAAAATAGTCCTTACTACTATATAGCAGTAGCTACAGAAGCTACACCTCTTGCCTGTCTTCTGGTTCCTGCTGTAACCTTCATCTTGGTGACAGCATTTTCTAGTGAGAATTCTTTCTTTGTGAGTTTTGCTGAAGCCTCACAAAAGAGGACCTTGTGAGACATTCATTAAATGGATAATTTCCATCACATTCATTTCCAAATCTTTTATCTGCCTCTGAAACATTCACTCAGTTGCTTTCTATGCAAGCGATCTCATTCAATACACTCCGGCCTCAACCTCATTCTTTATACTCAGTTCTTTATTTTACTGTTCATTTATTTAAGAAATAGCTACTCAGAGCCTGGACTATATAAGAGACTGTGATAAGTGTTATACAGAATATAAACAGGTCCTCCACACATTCATTCTTCAATCTGTGTCTTTGTCATACATTTTCTGGACACCAACTGCATACTAACAACTCTTTAAGGTACCATGTAGGATGCCCATTTTCTTTTTTATTTAACCCTGCCCCCCCAAGTCACTTTAAAAATCTAATAATGGTGTATTTCTCTAACCCAGAAATTACTACGTATAGAGTTCCTGGTGTGTGCCAGATTTTAAAGAGCTTTGAGTAACAGCCTGAGAGACTCATGGCCTTGCCAATACAATGGAGACACACAAAAATGCACTTGGATGTGACAGGAGACAAGGCAAGAGAAAGGAGTCTGCAGGTGAACAGCAATAGTCTACCTGGAAGATGGTCTTTAAAATTATTCTTATCTTTGAGATTGAGATACCTTGTGTCGTGTTCGGTGGCAGGAAACATTTTCCCTTGTTTTCAAGTGAGGATGTGTCCTCACTCAATCCAGATGGACCCTTGGAAGGACCTTCTTTACCTGAAAAAAATTAGGCGAAAGATCCTCCGTAAGAGAATACGCAAGTCGTAAGAATGGACTTCAAGTTCCTACCAAGTATCAGTGGTTTTCCGATGACTAAAGGCCTGAAAGAATCATTATCACCATTGCCTTATAATTACTTTGCAGCCGGCTGTTATCAAAGAACTGTCATATATGCTATCTCAATACTGCAGCTGTCTGGGTGTCCCCATGTCATTAAATATTCCCACCTACAGGTCAAACTAAATTCCAGGGCTTAGTACACTGACAGTGCTCCAAGTGCGTGGGGTCTACACAGATCGTTATGGTTCTAACTGCAGCAAGACCTAGATCAATGAATAGATTTGGGAGGACTGGAATGGAGTGAGAAAGAATGATATCATTACAGAGATGGCTGAGAAACAGTTTTACTGTCCCCATCGTGTCTTTGTATCTACCCACAAAATAAGGTCCTGTCTAGAAATCTCTATCCTCCTAGCTCTTAAAATAGCTTCTGTTTTTGTAGCTATAGAAGTAGGGTAAAGGGCTGTAGTTATTAAAAGATTGCTTGCCTAGCTGGGTGTGGTGATTTCTGTTGAGTTCAAGGCCAGCCTGGTCTACAAAGCAAGTTCAGGACATTCAAGGATACACAGAAAAGCCTGATTCAGACAAACCTGATTTCAATCTCTAGGACAGAACTGATACCTCCAAATTGTTCTCTGACCTCTACATACACACCCATTCACACACACACAACATAAGTAAATGTTAAGAGGAGGGTGCAGATTGGGACACAGGTAGAGACCAGGGTGAGGTTACATGAGAGGTATTTTGATTACTTAAGGTTGAAATGAGAGCAGAATTTAAAAGCACGAGGAAGTAGACAGAAAGAACAGAAAATTTTACCCATTGCTATAGACGAAAAGGTGTGTCCAGCCATCACCCTTGGGCCACAAACAGCCCAGAGTAGTTCTTTTGTGCTGTAGTGTCCCATGAATCATGCTCACAGCTGGGACACAATCAACAATACACAGCCCATGACAAGTCTTCATCCAATGTGGACCAGAGACTCCAAAAAGCTGGATAGCCCTGCAGGAGCAGCCTCTTTCATGGCATTCTCCAAATACAAAGGTGCTCAAGTCTTTAGCACTTAATTTTGGTTGCTGGACTTTGTCCTTTCAGCCACAAAATTTCTCAAGAACTAAACCACTGGACCAGAACCATAGAAGCATAACCTTCTCCTATTCCCTAGGGGGAAAGGTTAACACTTGTCTTTGCTACTGTTTCTATGACCTTATTTAATCTCCACAATTGTCTATAAAATGTAGGCCCACCAAGTCTTGACATCTGGACCTGTGGTTTAATGAGGCAGCCCAAGCATACAACAAGAGTCAAGCAGTCACAATCACCCTAGCCAATGCCAAATGTCAGTCCTTCAAACAGCTGCCAAGAGGCATGGTTTCTTTCCACTGGGGGCCTCCATGGTGGCATCTTAATGGGCCTCTCCCTCTCTTTGTTGTGGGAGCAGCTAGCAATGTCGATGGACAGTAAGAACAAAATAGATTTCTTCTTGAGTGGGCAGAAGGAAGTGCCAGCTCTCCATCCAGGAAACCCTGTTTTTTTGGTATTGAGAGCTAAGCAACTCATTGAGAACTCTGGCAGTGACAATTCAGAGTCAGAATCATTCCCGTCCCCAGGAATCAGAAGTAACTAAGGGGGAAGAGAGGGCACTTTCTGAAAAGCATGAGAGGTGAGAAAGAGCACAAATCAAACCCCTCCATGGACGGGTTAAACGACGTTGAACAAGGCATTTGTCCTGTCCGATTCTGAGGTCTTTCATTTCTGCAGTTATAAAAGAAGGAGTGACCCAAGTCAGAGCTTCTGAACCTGGCGGCTTCTTTGAGTCATCCAGGAGACAAATAGACAGACAGACAGGCAGACAGACAGATAGATGATAGATAGATAGATAGATAGATAGATAGATAGATAGATAGATAGATAGATAGGCAGACAGACATAGACAGGTCGATATATGATATAGATATATGTATGTGTATATGTATCTATATATTGATGCTTAGGCTTCTTCAACATGGATTCTGACTTTTGTAATCTGCAGGGCAGCTATAGGGGGTCAGCTTTACTTTTTCTTGTTGTTTCATTTTGTTTTTAGCAGAGTCTCATGTTCTTTATTCTAAGGAAGGTTGATATCCACTGCACATTAAAATTCAAAGGACTTAAATAATTGTACTCTTAACTGCAACAGTAAACATCTGGGGACTTTAAAAGTTCGAATAAGGGGCTAGAGAGATAGCTCAATGTTAAGAGCACTTGCTGCTCTTCAAGAGGATCCAAGTTTGGTTCCCAGCACCCATATCACCTGTTTCACATGATCTAACACTGTCCTCTTGGCTCTGAGAGCTCATGGTACACACACACACACACACACAGTAAATCATTTTTTAAAGTTTGAATAAGACCTGTCATTTAAATTAGTAGTTTTTACAGTTTTTAATTCCTATATGATGAAATCATTTTAGGGCGGGGTTGAGACCACGTGAGCAGACGGGGGGCTCGTCAAACATAATTGGAGTGCCTCACCAATCGTCCACTGAGGATCTGTGTTTTCAGCATTTCTAAGTGATGTTGCTATCACTGGCTGGAGGAGCCCATTTGGAGCGGCACCTGCTCTCCTGCCCTGTGATAAAGTTTAACTGTAAACTATAGCAAACCCCCAAGCATCCCTTCCCTTCCTACAGGGCACACTTTTAGTTTTAATTGCTCAATGCCATTTAGAAATCAGAACGTTTCATTCACCCCCAAATGCTCCTGTTTGCTTTGAAATCCCAAAGATTGCAGTCCAGGGCTTTCGTTCTCATACAGTCAGCAAAGGTAAATGGCTGATGTCCCACAACAAAGCACTTGCTGTCCCGACACCTCCGCCCAGCCTACCCAGTCACTCACTGTGTCCTCGCACAGAAAATGATCTGGCTGTAGCAGCCTGTAAAGTCAGCCTGCTGTCAGGAAGGAAAGCCCAAGGCAGTGACGCTGGTGAGGGGCACAGGTCGCATGGCCAGTAAAGGAGTGTGAGGTTTGCAGCAGGTAATCAGTTTTGCAAACTGTGGTTCATCCATGAACCATGTGTGTCACAATTACTGGGGCACTTTTTTAAATAAATCTTTTTACATATATGTGTGTTTTGCCTGTGTGCATGTCTGTGCACCACTCACATGCCTGCCGTCTGCAAAAGCCAGAAGATCTCCCTGCAAAAGTCAGAGCATTAGCTTAGATCCCCTGAAACTAGAGTGACAGACAGTTGTGAGCCACCTAATTGAAGGTGCTGGGACTAGAACCCAGGTCCTCTGCAAGAGCAGCCACTGCTCTTAACCACTGAGCCATGTCTCCAGCTTCTAGGTACATTTTATTTTTTTTAAGTGGTGCTGGGGAGGTAACTCAGCAGAACAGACTTACCAAGTATGCATTAGGCTAAGTGTTCAATACCCAGCGCTGGGGGTAGGGAGGATGCGACGTTTTAAAAGGTGTCCCTAAAAATAAACTTACAAAAAATACAGATGACGATCTGTATAATTTAAGTTGCCAGTGGTTTTCTAAGCAGGATGGGAAAAGACCCATCCTCCTCCTGAAAAATAATACATAAACTATGACGCATTAAATTTAAGAACTCATGCTAATCAAAAGAGATGTGTAAAAGAGTGATATGCAGCTGGAAGAGTGAACAAAAACATTAACAGTGCAAAGAATTTGAACCTAGAGTGTACAAGGAAGAACATGAGAGACCTGCAAGAGGACGCTGGAGACACGGCCTCTCAGCTAAATGTACTCGCTGCTCTTACAGAAGACTTAGGTTTTATTCCCAGCACCCGCATGGTGGTTCACAACCGTCTGTAATTCCAGTTTCAGGGGATCCAATGCCTTCTGACCTTCCCAGGCACCAAGGATGAGTGTGGCACACATGCAATTAAAATACACAAAATAAAATGAGTACCTTGAACTAAAACGGTCTTTTAATCTGTAGGAAATACGCATGTGGGTATTTCATGAGTATGTGGCGGGAGAAGCTGCCCTGCGCACGCTGGGCAGGTGGGTAGTCATGTTTGGTACATACAGGAGGGCCAAGAGAGAGGAGCACTTCGTGGCAGGCAGAATGATGGAATGGGCATGTAAGCAGCAGGAGCTTTGGTGCATTTCTGGCAGTAAAGCGGTATAATAAAAGTGATCGCTTTTGGTAGGACTAGCATAAGAAGGGCACAGAGAAAAAAGAGAACGACTCCAAGAGGCCAGCTGGAAAGCTATGAGAAAATCAGGGGAGGGAGGGAGAAGGTGGTCTGTGATGTTAGCAGTGTAGAGTGAGAGAGCAGAGTAAATGATACTGTGAAAGTAAGAAAAGAGAAGGCATCCTGACCTGCCAAATATTTCAGATAAATATGAGGAAAAACAACAACAACAACAAAAAAAAAAAAAAAAAAAAAAAATCACCACAGAAAATGAATGTTGGGAAATTTAGGCCCAGAAATGAGTGGTGATTTTACCAAGGTCACACAGCAAGTTATCAGAAGTCAGAGGTCATCCAAATCCCTGGGGACAGACTTTGTTATTTCTACAACAGTAGCTAACTTTGGAAGTCTAAAGTCAAAGTCTCTGGTGAGAAAAGCATCTCAAGGCAAGAACTTGCTGGAAAGAGAGCCCTCTCCCCACTCTCTTCTTGTGGCTTCTCTGCTCATACTGCCACCCCCAAGCTTAAAGAAGAAGAAAATCAGCATTGAAGGCTGGCCTGCATGCTCTTTATTACTTCACCCACATTTCTTTTTCTTTGACTCAGCAAACATGCACTATCAGCAATTTTTGTGAGGTAAGCCCACATCTCCTCGATAAGATTAAAAACAGACTCTTATCTATAGTTGTTATCTCCATCCATATGGGTGTAGAAGGGTGAGCAAGCACGTTTCATAATAATAGCATTTTGTTTGTATTTAAAACTGCAAAGGTTTGGTTGGTTTTTTTTGTTTTGTTTTGTTTTGTTTTTGTTTTTTTGCAATGATTAAGAGTATATGAATATGTAATAAGAGGGTGGAAAACCCAAGGAATTCACAAAAGTGATTAATTATACTGAGTGGGAAGTGGGAGTCAGACTGAATAGAGCCATCCAGGGAGCCTTAATTACAGATGCAACTTTTTATTATTATTATTTATTCAAAAGGAGAAAGAGATGAAGAATTCCTGATGGCACAAAACAGAAACGTGTTAAAGTGGATGGAGCTCACTATTCCAACTCTGTACCATCACTGTATTCATAATGTCTCTTCATTTTTTTTTAATTCAGTAATTCCCTGTTTATTACTGTGGGCATTCTCCTTCTCCCGTAACTATATCAATGAGGCAGTCAAACGAAAAAGGCTGAAAAAAGAACCTCCCCTACATCTTCTATATATAAGAATTTCTGCCAAATCTCTTCAAAGAGGTGTTGGAGATAAGGAGCAAGTGCTAGGCATTTCTGACACAGCTCCCTTTGTGATCTGAAGGAGACACTTGTTGGTGACTAGCAATGACAGGAAACCCAAAGGGGAGGAGTCATGGCTACTGGCAAATGACCAGGACCTGCCCTCTAACCATGTGCTGGTGGAAGATTTCTGCAGAAAGTGAAAAACATCACCAGGAGAAGCTGCCAGAAAGGTCTACACAGGAGAACACAGCTTGCTTGAAGCAGCCCAAACCAGCTTCCATTACTGGTCACCCCATGAGAAACCTAGGCAGCTGTCTAGGATCCCACAGTGCCATAAACGTTCTCTCTTGCTTCCCCTACACACAAGGACGCATGGTCTGGTCCTCACTGTTAACAGCAGCAGAAGCAACAACAACAAAAACAACAAGAACAAAAAAAAAAAAAAAAAAAACCACAGACCTCTCTCCAGTAGAGAATAACAAATGAAAGATGAGGTGTGGCCCATATTGGCTAAAAAACAACCAGCCATCACAGAAAGTCTTGTACATGAGACACATTGTCCAATCTAATCCTCTGCAAAGTTCCTGTGATCAGCACTCAGTGCATCACATAACCACTAGTCAGAGACCCAAGAGACTTGCTTAAGGTCATGCAACTATTCAAGCTATTCAGAGAAGTATCTCAAGCTTTGTGACATTTCCCTAGGATATACTGGGAGACTGTGATGAAAATATTTACACCATCTGGCCTCAGATACATCCCGAGCAACTTCCCTCAGGAAAGGCCTGGTGGGTGGAGAACAGTGCAGGAAGAATGGCATGGAAAACTGTGACAGAATAAATAGTAGGCTGGCTCCTGGTAAAACAGAGAATCCAGAGACTGGCCAGTGCCAATGGTGAAAAAGAAAAGTGAAAGAAAAAAAATTGTTGGATGGCAGGGCGGTGGAACTTTGAGAATACTTTCAATATCATCTCCCTAGTTCTGCACCACAGAACTCATTCCAAATGGGGCTCATGTCAAAAGGCAGCAGAGTTCTTCCCATCGAAGCTGGAGGGAAGCATCAGGGACGGGGACGGCGCCCTTGAGTACCTCTGCCAGCAGTTTACAACAGCAGACTTTGTAGATGACCACATGGGATCCTGAGAATGTAATATGCTAGGTCACAGAAATACCCCTAACAAGGCCTGCTCTCTGCTATACATGATTAACTGTGTGCTGGGCTGTTTGCTATGTTGAAAGTGTAGGTTTGCACCCACCATAACACTGTGAGGGAAGCACGCTGTGTCATAAAATCCATGGGCGAAGAAACTGAAACAAAGGCACTAAATAAGTTACTCAAAGTGAGCAAAAGAACCAAGTTCAAACGCAGACCTTCAGACCTGAAAACCAAAGTGGTCAGCGTGATGGCACGTGCCTACCTGGAGGTAAACAGGGTCAGACCTGGACCTCGGGTCCCCGACTCCCAGACCTGTGATCCTGAGGAACCCTCACTATGTATGTCTGTTTTCATGGGGTACAGAGACAACAGGATTTGGGGAAAACATTTGAAGAGTCTATAAACCCAGAAATTTAGCGAGAAAAAATACGTCACAGCCATTTGGGATGTCTGAAGTTTGTCTGCTTATAGTTTTAGGTGGGTCCTTAGTGTCCCTTGCCTTAGAAGAATTCCTGTTGTGTCAAAATGTGTAGTCTAGGACTTCTAGCTTGCTTCAGGTTCACTTTAGAAATCTCAAGTCCTTTTAACCAAGCACAGTGGTACATGCTTTAATCCCAGCATTTGGTAGGCAGAGGCAGGTGGATTTCTATGAGTTCAATGCCAGTCTGGTCTACAAAGCAAGTTCCAGGACAGCCAGGGCTATTACACAGAGAAACCCTGTCTAGAAAAAAAAGAAGAAGAAGAAGAAAAAGGAGAGAGAGAGAGAGAGAGAAATCTCAAGTTCTTTTGGTGAACCCAAGTCACAAGACCACAGAGGGAAGCAGTCAGAGGGAAAGTCCTTAGCTAGGGGAGCCTCCCAGCTGTGCTCATCCAAATCATGATAGTGCTCCAGGAAGACACATGACCCTAACAAAGGTTCAGAATGATGCCTTTGAGCGACATTCCTCTACCTCCCAAGTGAGACCTCCCATCCCAGCCCTTTTCCCCTATATCCACTCATCTAGAATGAACTTTTCAGTGTATGAAAAGTTGCAGGAGCTTTCAACAATGTGACCAACTGCCCTGCTTCACTGTGACCGTCTGTGTTTTAAAGCTGACCACATCCCAGGCAAGCCCTCAGTCTCCGGTAAAGTGAGAAGCTGGTCACCGCGTGTCCAGGTTGCTGGACATCTCCGTAGGACAACTTTCCATGACCTCAACTCAACAGGCCAAAGTCTACCAGAACAGGTAGGAGGGAGGAAACCGCCTGTGTTTCCTCGGTGACAGAAGCCCTGATGAAAATAGCGCTGAGTGACCCAGGCCAAATTTATGACCATCCATGGGGCCACAGAGGAACTCACTGCAGAGCCTTCTTCCTGTTCCAGGGAATCTTGGGAAGAAAGGAAGGAAGGGCTTAGTCACACACTAGGAGTGGCTGCCAAGAGCAGCCCTCACTCCCTCTCCACAAAGCACAGACCCAGCACACAGCCTGCGTCTCAGGAAAAGTACATGTTTTCCAGACTTCATTGCTTTTTTTTTTTTGCACCCAGAATGGGAAACACCAAACTAGAGAGGAAAGAGAGGCAGCCAGAAAGTACAGCCATCTCCCAACCTTCAGAAGGGCAGTTTCTCCAAAGCACCAACACCCCGCCCGAGCTGCTGAAGTAGCTAAGTCCCAGGCCAGATCCCCTCAGGAAACTCACCTGGGCCCCAGGGCAGACTCCGCTCCCCAGGGATACAGAAGCAGCCACCCATACGTGCACCATCCTCCCTGGGCCAGGGCCCCTGGGAAAGCCAGTCAGGAGAACCCTGGGAGCCTCCCATCGGAGGTGTCCCTCCTCCCGCCTCCTCCCTGGCACATGAGGGACCAAGGCTGTTCAAGGCACAATGCAGCTTTTGATATCCGGCCTGCAGTGGGGAGGCCAGGGAGGATGGGAGGGGCCACTCGGCCTGCAGGCCAGATAGTCCCCACACTGTCAGGCCTTGGCCTGGGGAGCAGCTCCTCCCTGCCTTTCTACAGATTGCTTCATGCCTATCAGGCTGTGGCACATTCCTCGCATTCTAGGATCCAGATACAGTTCGGTTCTTGTGAGGGTGGCCGTGGCAGGGGAAGGCAGAGAGCATCCAAGGAATCAAGGGTGTTGTTCTTGCCCTCTCCCTGAGGGACTTGGTCCACAGACTCTCCTGCTGGCTCTTAGAAGGCCTCTCTGAGAATGCTTCCTTGGCTGTTTGGCAGATCCTCACTTGTGAGGGAGCCCAGTACTAGCTGATGATCTGGATTGAGCACACGAGCCTCCAGCTGTGGACTCCCAAAGTCCACAGGAGTTACCAAGTTACCTAGAATTACCAAGAATTAACTTTATGGCTGAAGGGCTGGGCTACCCAAAGCATTTAAGTGTCAGGCATTCATGAAGAACTGGTCATGCTAGACCAACCTCTTTTCTGTTTCAGATGGGCAGTAAAGCAGGGGAAGGAATATCACCCAAGGAGCCTGAGCCTCGGAAAATCTCCCGTGAGATCTCTCACAGGAGGTAGAGCAAATAGACTGCATACCTTCAAGGCTGCTCAGGGGCCTTGGCTGCTCTAACAAGCCAGAGAAAAGGTCTGCAGGAACGCCCAAGGACAAGAAGGTACTTGCAGAGAGAGGCAGGGTCCTAGCATACTTGTGCCTCAGACTCGCTGAACTTTCAGGTCTCACAGGGTTTTTAGGAAGAGCAGTAGCCTGGTCTGGTCAGGTTTACATTCTGGGAGGAGCATTGGCTGGCAATGTGATGGTCAGGAGTGATTCTCTCTGGAATAGTCAAGTGCCCACAGAAGAGTACACCGGATCAGACTTGGGGCACACAGCACACAGGACTTCCAGGAGGCCTCTACTACAGCTTTAAAGGCTAATTGGTTATGAGTCAATTAGAGACCGTTTTCCACGAACCAAACACTCATTATATATATTATTTAAGTACAGTAAGAGTTCCATAATGTACATGTTGTTTTCTTTTTGATAGGGGAGAAAATAAGTGAAGAGGAGCATTGAATTTGTCCAAGTGAGCACAAACACACACATCCCATTTCTGAATGTCAGACTTAGTACCTGGACCCAACATGGTTGAATGGTTTTAAAGTATCACACACGTGATACTTTCCCACACGTGCGTTCCTCCCACAGCTATCAAGAGCACAGCAGGGAGGTGTTCTCACAGAGAACCCGCTGGACCAGCTAGTGGTGGAAAGCTTACTAGCAGTGTGTGCCTGGTGGCAAGGGCTCACAGGGGTGTGTTCCTTTGAGCCCAGCCCCCTCGTGGTGGGTGTTTTGTCTACCCACTACTGTTCAAAGGTATCTGTCTCCCATGATGTGTTCAATGCCCTACCCTCACCAAAACCTCCTCGAGAAGAGAGGGTAACTGTTCTTTGGAAAGCAGCTATTCAAAGACTCTGAGAGGAACCAGACAGCGAAAAGAAGGCAAGCTCTGGCCTCTATGTGCGAGTGGATAGATAGACTTAACCCTTCTGTGAGACTTACCCACACGCCACACTCATACAGAGATCACATAACCAAAAATAATGAAGAACCAGGACCCCAGTCAACTGTCCCTGGGGCAGCTGGTTGAGACAGACATTTTGGCAAGTCTGAAACGAGCAACCCATTCTTGAGGAAATCCAGGTACTTCCCTTGAGACGCAAAGACCTCAGGTCTGTTCATGAATTGTTCTGATGTCTCTGTCAGAACAAAGAGATTTCTAGGCAGAGAAGCAGCAGGAGCTAAATCCTGGTGGCACAATCCTGGGTGGCATGCTAAAGGAAGCACAGTGGCTAGAGCAGGGGTAGGGGCCGGAGATTTGTGGATGAGCTCAGAGATCACAGCAGCAAACTGTCCTGGTCTCCATGCTGGAGCTCTTGAGCTGGTGTTCAGTGTCTTTGGTTTAGAACATTAGGCAAGTTCAGTGCCACCAATGAAGTTTTGGCTTAAGACATTTATTTTCTTTTGTTCCTCCCCTTTTTAAAAAAAACTCAGTCAAGCCCAGGGTCACATGTCCAGCAGACAGATGCTCTCTCTACTTTTGAGCTGTATACTCCCAGCCTGATTTATCATGTGTTCCTGTCCTGACTTCCTTTGATGATAAACTGTGATGTAGAATAATGAGCCCAATAAACCCTTTCCTCCCCAAGCTGTTTTGGTCATGGTGTTTCATCACAGCAAGATTAACAATAAGACACCAGGTGTCTTATTGTCTTACCACACATCCACTGTGCCCATGCTGCTACTGCTAATGGAGAAGAGATGCAGGCAGAGAACCTGCCACTGACTGTCTGAGCAGAACAATGGGGTAGAAGCTTCCCTGGGGGAGATTCAGGAGCACGGGCTAAAAGAAAAGGGGGAAATCCAGGCCCATTTCATTAGCCACCGGTCCCATCATCAAGTATTTACTTCCTTAATAGTTCCTGGTAGCAACTGGTGTAAGTGAGGTTCCCTGAGTGACAAGTGGCATCTGACCCAGCTGGGAAGCAACGGGGAGAGGTGCCTCTGCCCAATCTTGGGAATCCCCTGCTGTGCTCTGGGACACGGGGACCACAGGACAGACTACCCAAGTCAGCAGGTGTTCTGGTTTGTCCTGGAGATCAAGAATGCAGATCTGCTGGTGGAGCTCCAACTTGCCAATGCCACGAGCTAACTCAAAGAATATTTCCAGAGCTTAGTGTGCCCAGAACAGCAGGGCAGGGACTGAAGACCAGACCTGGCCAGAGAGCCACTAGGTTTGTCTTTGCATGTATTATATTCTCTTGGAAAGTTTACAATCTTGTCGGGGTAATGATAAGGGGTGGAGAGCGCATCTCAGCAGTATAGCACCTGCGGAGCATGCAGAAGGCCATTGATTCCAGCTACATCATACAAACAGAAAAGGAAGAAAGAAAGGCAGACTATACCTACAGGGAAGAACTGAAAAGGCTCTGCTACTGGTTAAATGATGTTCTCCTAAAAAACAAAAACAAAAATAACTCAAGTTCTAAGTACCAGCCTTAAAATGTGACTTTATTGGAAATTAGATCATCGTAGATGCCATATATAAAGTAGGGTATGTTTATACTGGACACAGTAGACTTTTAATATGACTATACAGTATGAATGGTTGTCAGAAAGAGAGAGAGAGAGAAGGGGAAGAGAGGGAGGAAACTCAGCTGGGCATAGTAACACCTTCCAAACACCCAGCATTCAGGATGCTGAGGAAGGATGGAGAATTCCAGGCTAGCCACAGCTATGTAGCAGGACCCTGTCTCAAAACAGCAAAAACACGCCTGACATGGTGGAGCACAGCTTTAATCCCAGCTTTCAGGAGACAGAGGCAGAAGCAGAGCCAGCCTGGTTTGCACAGTGAGTTCCAGGAAAGCCAGAGATACACACTGAGGCCCTGTCTAAAATTAAAAAAAAAAAAAAAAGAAAGAAAGAAAAGAAAAGAAAGAAAGAGGAAGGAAGTAACAATGGGAAAGGGGAGGGAAAATATGAGCAAAGTACAATGATACGTATTGGGCAAATGACATAACTAAACCCATTATTTTGTATGTTTAACCTTAAATTTTAATTAATTAAAGTAAATAAACTTTTTCCTATTGACAAAAGTCCTTACTGTAGAAAAGCTGAGAGCAGAGAAGCATAAAAACCAAACATCAGTGATGTCATCCCCTCAAGAAATACTCTGTGTAATAACACCTGTGTCTTGTATAAAATGGACGCTGCACTTTGTGCTTCAGCATTTTCCAGCCTGGTATCACATTGTAGGCCACTTTCTATCTTTTCAAAAACAATTAAATTTTAATTGTTTGTTTGTTTATTGTTCTTTCAAGACAGGATTTATCTGTGTAGCTTTGGCTGTCCTGGAACTCACTCTGTAGACCAGGATGGCCTTGAACTCACAGAGATCCACCTGCTTCTGCCTCTGCCTCCCATTTGCTGGGATATTTATGTGTGTGATTGTTTCACCTTGGAGATCAGAAGTTGTCAGAGTCCCTTGAACTGGAGTTTAGGGTGGTTCTGAACCACTTTGTGGACTCCTGGAACTGAACCAGGTCCTCTATGAGAAAAATAAGTGCTCTTGACCACTGACTGAGCCATCTCTCCAGCTCCATCCATCGGTTTTAATGACAGCAGAACAGTCTATGGTGTGGCTGTGACAATCTGAACAGTTCCTTTCCTAATGCTGGGCATTTAACTAGCCTCTTTGTGTTTTGGAGGAATTGTTTTAATACTTTTATTGTAACAGACAGGAAAGTATAAAAAAGAAAAAAAAAGACGGAGAGAAAGTACACCCCATGGACCAATGGCAGAAAATAGAGTGCCCCACCTGCAACTCAAACAGGGCAGGAACTTGGAAGCAGGAACTGAAGCAGGGACCGTGGTACTTGCTCCAACTGCTCTGTTACAAAACCCAGGCAGGACCAACCACTCACTCACAGTGGACCGGGTTTTCCTACTTCAATCATTTCTCAAGAAAAAGCCCCACAGACATACCTGCAGTCCAATCTAATGGAAGCATTTTCTCAGTTTCTTTCTTTCTTTCTTCCAAGATGACCATAGCTTGTGTGAAGATGTCAAAAAACTACCCCACACAAGCAGTTGGCTTCTCTTAACAGGAGAGCCATCTCTCTAGAACCATCTGCTGACACTCAGTGTGGATTTCTGACCCCCAGAGCTAGAAACAAGCATACTGCAGTATGTCACTGCTTATGTCCTTAAGTCAGGTTTCCAGGTCATAAGGTGAGGTAGG